CTTCTCTCCCTCCTGATATCTTCTCTCCATTTCTCTACCCTCTCTCTTTTTTTCTGCCGCGCGCGTGTGTGTGTGTGTGTGTGTGTGTGTGTGTGTGGGTGTGTGTGTGTGTGTGTGTGTGTGTGTGTGTGTGTGTGTCGCGCTTCACCCACAGCCAGGCCATGATTCCCTGCATTCTGCTGGTTCTCGGCGCCAACCTCGTCAAGGGTCAGTGCAGTCGTGCGGTGTCGATTAGCTGTGCTGAGCCGCTGTGCCGGAGTTTCAATCTGCTGGGAAAAGTTGGAATTTCTAGTGGACAAGTCATCGTTGGGTCAGAGTGCCCCTATTGGCTTGGCCAGCAGCGCCAGTACCATTGCTCTCAGCTGTCTAGCATGTGATGCAGTATTTTCATGGGTCTGGCAGATGCATTCGCAACAGATATCGCATCTTCTGTGCAACCCTCTCTTGCCACGCGTCACCCACCCGCCACCATCGCCCACACAAGGCTTTAAAGCTCTCCAGCTATCGTGCCACGCACATTGTGTCCAAGCCTCCGACCATTTTCATAAACCTCAAGTCTTCTCCCTGCCATGTCACCTTTTGAGTCGACTCAGAAGTCTTCTCCCTGCCATGTCACCTTTTGAGTCGACTCAAAAGTCTTCTCCCTGCCATGTCACCTGCAAGTAGCGCCTCTGCTTCCAACCATTGTAGCGCCTCCGCCTCTCATGGCTCTCACTGTGCTGCATTGATGCATCCCCCTCCCCGTTTGCCTGATGCATGCACCCTCCCCTCCTCCCCCCTTCATTTATGCCCCACTTCTTCTCCCACTCCCTTCGGGGTCCCGGAGACATCCCCCCACCACCCACGCCCTGCCCACACGTCCCAGGGCTTCAGCGCTGCCGATACGCGTGACACTAGCAGTGGTGGTGACGCGGCTGCTGCTCAGCATTGCCCTCTCCTGTCTGCTCAGCATTGCCCTCTCCTCTGTCTGCTCAGCATTGCCCTCTCCTCTGTCTGCTCAGCATTGCCCTCTCCTCTGTCTGCTCAGCATTGCCCTCTCCTCTGTCTGCTCAGCATTGCCCTCTCCTCTGTCTGCTCAGCATTGCCCTCTCCTCTGTCTGCTCAGCATTGCCCTCTCCTCTGTCTGCTCAGCATTGCCCTCTCCTCTGTCTGCTCAGCATTGCCCTCTCCTCTGTCTGCTCAGCATTGCCCTCTCCTCTGTCTGCTCAGCATTGCCCTCTCCTCTGTCTGCTCAGCATTGCCCTCTCCTCTGTCTGCTCAGCATTGCCCTCTCCTCTGTCTGCTCAGCATTGCCCTCTCCTCTGTCTGCTCAGCATTGCCCTCTCCTCTGTCTGCTCAGCATTGTCCTCTCCTCTGTCTGCTCAGCATTGCCCTCTCCTCTGTCTGCTCAGCATTGCCCTCTCCTCTGTCTGCTCAGCATTGCCCTCTCCTCTGTCTGCTCAGCATTGCCCTCTCCTCTGTCTGCTCAGCATTGCCCTCTCCTCTGTCTGCTCAGCATTGCCCTCTCCTCTGTCTGCTCAGCATTGCCCTCTCCTCTGTCTGCTCAGCATTGCCCTCTCCTCTGTCTGCTCAGCATTGCCCTCTCCTCTGTCTGCTCAGCATTGCCCTCTCCTCTGTCTGCTCAGCATTGCCCTCTCCTCTGTCTGCTCAGCATTGCCCTCTCCTCTGTCTGCTCAGCATTGCCCTCTCCTCTGTCTGCTCAGCATTGCCCTCTCCTCTGTCTGCTCAGCATTGCCCTCTCCTCTGTCTGCTCAGCATTGCCCTCTCCTCTGTCTGCTCAGCATGGCCCTCTCCTCTGTCTGCTCAGCATGGCCCTCTCCTCTGTCTGTGTATCTTTTTTGTCAAATTGAGGTGACTTTTGAGTCGACTCAAAAGCTGCTCAGCATGGCCCTCTCCTCTCCTCTCCTCTGTCTGTGTATCTTTTTTGTCAAATTCAAATACACCCACGCCCTGCCCACAGGTCCCGGAGCGTCCGCACTGTCGACGCGAACAACACTGGCAGTGGTGGTGACGCGGCTGCTGGTGGTGCCACTGCTCGGCATCGCCCTCTCCTCTCCCTCTTGCATGCCCCCTTCGCCTCATGCATTCTTTCCCCACCTACCCACCTCTCCCCTCATTTCCGCTGCATGCGCGCCCTCCCCTCCCCCTCATGCGCGCCCTCCCCTCCCCCTCATGCGCGCCCTCCCCTCCCCCTCATGCGCGCCCTCCCCTCCCCCTCATGCGTGCCCTCCCCTCCCCCTCATGCGCGCCCTCCCCTCCCCCTCATGCGCGCCCTCCCCTCCCCCTCATGCGTGCCCTCCCCTCCCCCTCATGCGTGCCCTCCCCTCTCATGCGCGCCCTCCCCTCCCCCTCATGCGTGCCCTCCCCTCCCCCTCATGCGTGCCCTCCCCTCCCCCTCATGCGCGCCCTCCCCTCCCCCTCATGCGCGCCCTCCCCTCCCCCTCATGCGCGCTCTCCCCTCCCCCTCATGCGCGCCCTCCCCTCCCCCTCATGCGTGCCCACCCCTCCCCCTCATGCGTGCCCTCCCCTCCCCCTCATGCGCGCCCTACCCTCCCCCTCATGCGCGCCCTCCCCTCCCCCTCATGCGCGCCCTCCCCTCCCCCTCATGCATGCCTGCAGGCCCTGGAGCATCTGCGCTGCCAATGCGAACAATGCTGCGGTGGTGGTGACGCGGCTGCTGCTGGGCATCGCCATCGTGCTCTGCGCCGACCGCCTGGGCTGCATTGATGCATCCCCCTCCCCGTCCCCCTCATGCATGCACCCACCCCTCCCTCCCCCTTCATCCGTGCCCCACCTCCTCCCCCTTTCCCCCACTCCCTTGGGGGCCTCGCATACATCCCTCCACCACCCATGCCCTTCCCACAGGCCCAGGGGCGTCTGCGCTGCCAATGCGCACAACACTAGCGGTGGTGGTGACGCGGCTGGTGGTGGTGCCGCTGCTGGGCATCGCCATTGTGCTCTGCGCCGACCGCGTGGGGCTGCTGCCGCCCGGCGACAAGATGTTCCGCTTCGTGCTGCTGCTGCAGCACGCCATGCCCTCGTCCATCCAAATAGGTGAGAAAGTATGTACCAAGGTGTGCCAAGGTGTGCCAAGGTGTGTGCGCGCACAAGCAGCTCTGCGCCGACCGCCTGGGGCTGCTGCCACCGGGCGACAAGATGTTTCGATTCGTGCTGCTGCTGCAGCATGCCATGCCCTCCTCTATTCATATAGGTGCGAGAGGATGGGTGCGAAAGGATGGGTGCGAGAGGATGGGTGCGAGAGGATGGGTGCGAGAGGATGGGTGCGAGAGGATGGGTGTGCCGGGTGCCAGGGGTGCATGACGCCATGCATGCTGAACCATTGGTGTTCATGTGACTGGTGTGCTGCTGCAGCATGCATGCCCTCGTCCATTCAGATAGGTGCGAGGGGATGGGTTTGTGCGGAGGGCGCAGGCGCCCATGCATGCTGAACATGGGTGCTCATGTCATGATTGCGTCGCCGTGCAGCATTCACATCTAGCTTACATTTGAACACCTTTTTACGTGTGCCCATGGCATGCAGGCACAGCGTGCAGCTTGAGGGGGTTTGGAGAGCAGGAGGTATCAGCGGTGCTATTCTTCCAGCACATATCAGCCGTCTTCACCATGGCCGTCTACCTCTTCGTCTTCTTCTACCTCCTCTACGGTTGACCAGTGACCTCTCTGCTGCAATGCCCACATGCCTCACGCTCAGCAGCATCAAAGTAGCAGTACTCAGGGAAACCCTAAAAGAAGCTTGAGAGGGTTTAACAACATTCCGAGTAAAACGAGATTCTTCTTCAAGTCTGCAAAGCAGTTAGCGACAAAATCTACAATCTGGTGTATTTCAATAAAAATCCTTACATGACATTATATTGTCCCATCCCATGCATTTACACGTATAAGAATATTTATTGTTAACGACGCACCCCTTATTTTTCCCTGATGAATCACAGCAACCGCACCTGCGCTTCTATAAGGAGGGGCTCAGTACAGTATCGCCCCAATGGTATGGTTAGTGGCAAACGAGTGCAATGCCTATTCTTGTGAGTTCACAATTTTTTTTTAAATTATAGAACCCTTTAATTTTATCTGATTAGTTTTACCTGTTTAGATTTTTCCTTCCAATTTCTTCGTATGCTGTATGAAAGAACCTTGTCGCGAACCATTCAATCTTCAGGCAGTGGTACATTCAACGTACTGTGCCAGCGCATAAAGCGGTGCCACATTTCGCGGGCAGAGTCAGCCACCTAGATTCCTGTTTACTCGTTTGACCCTCGTTCGTTAGCGCACTACTCGAGGAGATTATCTAAACCAGCAACTAACCGTTGGGCCCTGTCGGAGCAAGTGGAGTCCTGTCCTGTCTCCTCCCCCTCCTGCCGACAGGCTGTCGCTCCTAGCTTCCACTCTCTTCGCCTCTCTCTATTCTCGTCTCTTCTCGTCTCCTATCCTCTTCTTTCCCGCACTTCCGTCGGTCTCTTACTAGTATCTAACAAACCTTTCCTCGCCGAACTGAGTCACACGCCGCTGCTCTGCTGTCCTCCTCGCCGAGTCAACCCGGTGAGAACCGCCAGCGAAGAATCGGTAGTTCACGCCTTACGGGGTCACCCCGCTGTGAAACTCGCTGCTAGCAAGACAACGTAGCAACTATCATTTACAGCACAGCACATCGTGTTACCATTCCGCACAGCGAGGCATAGTAGGATGGGTCATCCGAGTCTACGAGGCGAGCTAAGGCAGGATCGTAACATGATCGTGTCCCGCATGTACCGATCCGACCGCTTTCCGATGGCAGCCAGGCGTAGCACGCCTAGTAATCCGGGTATAAGAACCAAGCCAAAGTTAGATCCAACCATCGCAAGCTATTCGCCCTACTACTACTCGTCCTGCTACCTCCAGCTGCTCTCACCCGCTGCAAATCTAGGCTCTAGCAGTCCTTAGCCATACTATCTCCGGTTACCCTAATTTCTCAGTTTGCCAAACGTCCCGCGCTGCTCTCCGCAATGGCTCCTGCGAAGCTCCTCTTCGCCGTCGTCGTCGCGCTTCAGGCCTCCGCGATCCTCGCGCAGACGTGCTCGTGCGCCGACTGCGAGACGGTGGCCCCTCCCTGCTACGCCAGCAGGTGAGGCTCCCGATTCAGATTTGAAATAATCCACCCAGATATGCTGGTCATTTGGCTGGTCGATTGCAATGCAACTGCACAACTGAGTGTTGTGCGTGCTGCTTCTCACCCTCCTGCCTGCGTGGTGGATCAAGGACAACTGCAGCTCGCAGTCTCTGTGGAACAGCGTCAAGGAGGCCACCTTCACGTCCCCCTCGCTTCCTCTCCCTGCCCCCGCCCCCACCCCTCCCCTCCCCTCCCCCCGATTTTCCCCTTTCTCCCACTGCAGGTGGTACGCGTGGTGGATCAAGGACGACTGCAGCTCGCAGTCGCTGTGGAACAGCGTGCAGTCCTCCAGCGACGTGCGCAGCAGCGTGCTGGCCGTGTGGGGCCCCGGCACGCCCGGCTCCACCACCTCCTTCCAGAGCTACGTGCTCATGGCGGCCAACAACCGCAGGAACCCCAGTTGCGTCAAGACGTACCTGCTCGACTGGATCAAGTGCAAGGCCGCGCCCACTGACTCGGCCGTTCAGTTTTACAACTCTGCACTGGGCGTGGGGGTGAGCGGGGTGAAGGATGTGCGGTCGCTCAACACTTATGTGACGGCGGTGATCAAGAAGATTGGCCAGACCGTGTTTAACACGCTCGCTGGCATGCTCAGGCAGTGCGGCCTGCAGGCTCAGGTTGTGATGGCGGGAACGTGGTGCTAGATAGATGCATTCAATCATGATTGAATAGAAATGATGCGTGTGTGGAGTGGTTTATGTATAAGGTTGTGTTTTGCCTTTCCATGGGTGCGGGCGGGGGTGGGGGAGGGGTGGAAGAAGGTTGGTTTGGTGGGTTCTTAAGGGTTTAGGGTTGCTGAAGCAGTGTGATCTGCAGTCTAGTGTGATGTGGTGTTGATTGATCTACTCTACAGTAACAAAGCTTTACACTGCTGCTCGTCGTGACTCATCCGTAGCAAAATATATAGTGATACAGTCCACGGAATTATGTGTAAGCATAATATCTAGTTGTAACTTATTCGTTGTTCGGGGACGCAGAGAAGCGTTGGCGAATTCGCAGGCGAGGATCCTCGACAGGTTACTGGGCTGAGCTGGTGCTGCGTCAGCCTCTTTTGATTTAGCAAGCTGGCCGAGTCAGGTGGTCCCCACAAAGCTGCGTCACGCAGCTGGGTTGTGAGTCAGCGGGTAATACACCCAGTCAGGAAGTCGAGAGTCAATCAGAACTGCTTAACAGTCAAATGCAACTGATTCCCTCGATTTGCAATGTCATAACACCCCCCTGCAGTGAGCCTTTAGTTATTATCTCCCGCAGCTTCACTACAGGCAATAGCCAATCGGCATGGTGCTCGCACGTGTTCTCACGGGCTCCGTTCGTCGCGGAGCCTCTAAATCCCGCCCCGTTTCCCTCGCCTCTCGCCTCTCACCACCCATTTCCACTCCCTCCGCTATAAACACCACTCCCTTCGCCGCGCCTCATGCCTGTAGCGGAGCAGCAGCGCTGCGTCCTATAGCGGGGATGCCGCCGCTCTTGCCGTTCGCAGCAGCGGGTGCTGTTGCGTCGTCGTCGACGCTAGCAGGAGTCGCCGGGGCGGGGTCGCCCAGCGGCGTGGCATGCGGGCCGCAGCTGACGGAAGGAATAGACTCGTCGCCTTCTGCTCCCGCTGCACACGTTTTTAAACAGGTGACATGCCTTACAACAGGTAGGAGGTGTATCAACAGATATGTGGTCCTTTCCCTTCCCGTCGCTTCCGTTCCCTTCCCTTCAATTCCCGTTGCTTCCCTTCCCTTCCCTTCGCTTCCCGACCCTACCCACCCCTTCCGTCAGGGATTCGGAAGCAGGAACTTCCCACCCCAAATAGAGCGGCGTGCTGAGATGGGGGCTTCGAGCGGATAGGGAAGCACGAAAGCAGCACGAGCAGCGTGTGCAGGGAACCGTGAATCTCACCTCATTCCTCACCACCCCCGTCCCCTTCCGCCGCTCTTCCTCCAACCCCTTTTGCCCCCACCTGCAGTGTATTGCGCGGATAAAGCGGATGAAGAGGCAGCACAAGCAGGGCAAGTCGGGCCTGCCTACCTATACGTACCCTTTCCCCTATCTTCCACTCTCACCGCGCCTACCTCTCCAGTGATTGAGCTGGAGCGGCTACAGGCGGAGGCGCTGAAGGACAGTGAATTCGAGCGGTTAAAGAAGCAGCACAAGCAGGGCAAGTTGGGCCCTCCTACCTCTACTATAACACCTCGCTACCAACTGGGTCAAAACGAGGGTGCTATTTAGGCGCAGCAGAATGGCTTTGAAACAGTCCACAGGCGTTACATCTACGTACCCTTAAACCTTCCGGCGTCCCGTATCGTCCCCTCCTCACCCACCCCTCCAGCCTTCAGTGATTGAGCTGGAGCGGCTACAGACAGAGGCTCTGGAGGGTGGAGGGTTCGAGCGGAAAAAGAGTTAGCACAGGCAGGGCAGGCCAAACATACTCCTACTTACCCTCTTCGCTTCCCGCTGCTCTCCCCTCTCACCCCGCTTACCTCTCCAGCCGTCAGTGATAGAGCTGGAGCGGCTACAGGCAGAGGCGCTCAAGGGCGGGGGGTTTGAGCGGATACGCAAGCAGCACAAGCAGGGCAAGCTGACCGCCAGAGAGCGCATCATGACTCTGCTGGACCCTGGGTCGTTTGAAGAACTCGGTGAGTGGCGCGGCAGTGCAGTGCAAGCATCAGTGGCAGGGCAAGGCAAGGTGGCAGCGAGAGAGCGAGTGATGACTGTGCTGGTCCCAGGGTTGACTGAAGAGGTCGGTGCGTGAATAGCTTGCACAGTCAGCAGGAGCAGGAATAGCAACACGAGCAGATCAGGGAAGCAGCCGAAGCAGCATGAGCAGCACTGGCAGGGCAATTGGCATGACAAGCAGTGCAAGCTGACAGCCAGGGTTGTTCGAAGAGATTGGTGAGTGGAGAGACAAGAAGATGCAAGACACACAGCACGAACTCTGCAGGGAAACAGCGCAAATAACAGTGGCAGGTCAAGCTGGCAGCCAGGGAACGGATAATGGCAGGCAGCACGAGAGCACACGCAGAGCAGGGGAAGCAGCACGAACAGCACTGGCAGGGGTACCAGGGGGAGCAGAGCAAGATGACAGCAGGGAGCGAGGTATGACATTGTTCAATTCAGGCCGTTTGGAGAGGTCAGTGAGTGCAGAGGCAGGTTTTAAGTGCGTGCTGGATAGGCTGGGATGGAGAAGAAGCAACAGGGGCAGGGCGATCAGGGAACGAACAAAGACTGCAAGCTGAGTGCAAGCTGAGTGCAAACTGAGTGCAAGCTGAGTGCAAGCTGAGTGCAAACTGAGTGCAAACAACTCTCACTCACTCTCACCACTCTCTCTTTCATCTCCTCAACTTTCTCCCCTCTCCCCACCCTCACTCTCTCACCTCTTCGACTCTCTTTCTCCCCGTGTGCTCTGTCTTGAACTTTCTCCGTCATGTGCTGTGCTGTGCTGTGCTTCACCCTCTGCCCCCCCGGTGTTTGCTTTTCCCCCCTCTCCCCGTGTGCTGTGCTGCACTGCACCTCTCCCCCCGTCCCTGTGTGCTGTGCTGTGGTGTGCTGTGCTGTGGTGTGCTGTGCTGTGGTGTGCTGTGCTGCGTGGTGCCGCAGACATGTTGGTGCAGCATCGCTGTCGGGACTTTGGCATGGATGAGACACAGATTGCAGGCGATGGTGAGAGATGACACATGGGCGGTGAGAGATGAAACACTGGCAGGGAGAGATGTCACTGATTAGAGAGAGTTGTTGTGGTAGATGAACCGTACCTCCCTCCCTCCCTCCCTCCCTCCCTCCCTCCCTCCCTCCCTCCCTCCCTCCCTCCCTCCCTCCCTCCCTCCCTCCCTCCCTCCCTCTCTCCCTCCCTCCCTCCCTCCCTTCCTCCCTCCCTCCCTGTCTCCCTCCCTCCCTCCCTCCCTGCCTCCCTCCCTCCCTGCCTCCCTCCCACCCTCCCTCCCCACCTCAGCCCCTCCTGTGTATCTTTAACCCTCGCATGCCACAAGCGCACCATTCGTCAGCGCACCCTCTCTTGCTTCCTTTCTCCCTTGTCTCTTGTACACTCACGCAACCCGTTCGGCCACGTGTTGCCATGTCCTGCCGCGTGTCGTGAGTGGCAACAGCACCATCAGCAAAGGCTGAGCGACGTTCCGCCACTCTTTTTCCGGTTCGCTCACAATCCCCTCCCTTCCGCTATTCCTCCCCCCACGTGCTGCCAGGCGTTGTGACTGGCAGCGGCACCATCAATGGGAGGTAAGTGCTCTAGTGTGAACCATCAGTTCAAGGCTGGTTAAAACGTTCAGTTTTGAGTCGCGGCGAGTGGCTAAAGGCGTGTGACCGTTGGTGTGCTACCCTTTCCCGCTCCACTCGTTTTCTCTTCTCTGCTCCATTCACTCCTACTGTTGCTCCCTTTACTTCATAGGGCTGTCTGTTGTGCTCATGGTAGGTAGGATTGGTGGTGGGCTTACTTGGTTGATTCCCGCGCACTTGCTTCTCCTACTCTCCTCCTCATTCACACGGCAACCACACTACACTACTGCCTAGAGTGTGGGTTCAGCCAACACCCCACAGAGCCGTGCCTCATGCTAACGGGTTTCATCTACATTATTCTCACTCACGTGCTTCCCACCCCTATCTCTCCTCTCCTATCCTCCCCACACTACACCACACCTCACCACACTACAGGCTCGTTTTCATGTTCAGCCAGGACCCCACAGTGCTGTGCCTCGTGTGTTAGTGCATTTCACACGCTCACTCCTACCTCTCTTATCCTCCCACGCCACACCACACCACACCACACCACACCTCACCACACCACACCACACCACACACCACACCACACCACACCACACCACACCACACCACACCACCCACCACACGACCCCATGCCACACCGCCCCACACCACACCGCACCGCACCACACTGCAGGCTGGTGTTTGTGTTCAGCCAAGACTTCACCGTGTTTGGCGGAAGCCTGTCAGAGACCCATGCGAGCAAGATAGTGAAGGTGCGCCAGTTGAGTCACATCAGTGCAAAGGTCAGTTCAGTCTACTGGGAGGTCAGTTCAGTCTACTGGGAGGTCAGTTCAGTCTACTGGGAGGTCAGTCCCGTAGAAAGAAGAGATTCTAGTATTGATTTGGGCTCGAATGGGCCAGGGTTTACATAGGTGGAGGGAATGGGATGAGGGTCAACAGGTATTGGAGGCTTCAATGGTTTGCTGGTTTGGTCGGATTGGACCAACATTTGTGCGGCTCCGATACTTGTTGGGTGGGCTCGAACCAGCACTTTTGGAGGCCCAATGATTGTTGGGAACCCTACCAGACTTCAACCGCAAGTAATGGTTGAGGTACCCTTAACCGTATATATTAGTCTAGCTAGGACATGCATGTTGTATAAAAACATTACAACAGATCAGTCAACTGGGAGGTCAATTGAAGGCAATGCTTGTTGCAACAATTAGTGGAACACCTCGGAAATCCATCTCCCTCTCCTCCCCCTTCTCTCTCCCCTTTCTCTCTCTCCCCTCTCCTGCTCTCCCCTTCCCCGCTCTCCCCATCCCCCCTCTCCCCTTACCTGATCTCCGCCTTCCGTGTGCCCTCCTCCCTCCTCCGCGTTCTCCCCCTCTCCCCTCGCAGATCATGGAGAAGGCAATGCTAGTGGGAGCACCTGTACGTCTCCCCTCTTCCTTCCCTGCCGTTGCCCTGCCCTTCGCCACCATCCCTTCTTCATTTCAATAGACCACGGACCCCTCCGTGCTTGTGCTTATGGGAGCTCCTGTACACCCCTCTCTACTTTCCCTTCCCTTCCGCAACCCACATCCCGTCCACGCCACACACACCTTTCCCCCTGATTCCTCGTTCTTAATTCACAACCCACCCTGTTCTATCCATCCCCAGTCTTACTGAGCAAGTTTAAATCCTCTGTTTAGACCGACTGAAACCTCTGTTTAGACCGACTGAAACCTCTGTTTAGACCGACTGAAACCTCTGTTTAGACCGACTGAAACCTCTGTTTAGACCGACTGAAACCTCTGTTTAGACCGACTGAAACCTCTGTTTAGACTGACTGAAACCTCTGTTTAGACCGACTGAAACCTCTGTTTAGACCGACTGAAACCTCTGTTTAGACCGACTGAAACCTTCGTTGCGCAACTCCCTCCAATTTCCACCTTCGTTGCTTACTGTCGTTCCATATGCCCCCACCCTCACACTCTCTCCCTGCCTCACACTTTACCCTTCATGCCATGCATCAACGAGTCACAGGTCATAGGCATCAACGACTCGGGGGGAGCTCGCATTCAGGAGGGCGTTGTGTCGCTCGCCGGCTATGCCAACGTCTTCCAGGTGAGTTTTGAGTCCACTCAAAGTTGCTCCCTTTGCTTTGTGTAGGAGGGGGATGGAGGGAATCTATAGGGGAATGGAGGGCCCATTTGTATCGAGTCTTATTTACTCTTTCCTCTCCTCCTTCCTCTCTTCCCTCCCCTTCCCCCTCCCCTCCACCCAACCCCCCCCCCCCCCCCCCCCCCCGGTCTGTCCCTCTATCTGCCGGCACCCTGGCAGCTGAACGTGCTGGCATCGGGAGTTATTCCGCAGCTCTCCCTCATCATGGGGCCCTGCGCAGGTGAGGGGAATGCTGCCTGGGGGCTGGGGGGTGCGGGCTGGGGGCTAGGGGCTGGGGGCTAGGGGCTGGGGGCTGGGGTTCAAGGCACCAGTTATCAGGGTTGGGGCGCAACATGCAGGTGATTGGAGGGTGGGGCACGCATGGGGTTCTCATTTAGACGCGCCTCGTTGATAGACCCAGTGCAGGTGATGTGGGCTTGAGGCTGGGATCGTGGACTTCGTTGTGAAGAGTTGATGGGATGGGATGGGATGGGATGGGATGGGATGGGATGGGATGGGATGGGATGGGATGGGATGGGATGGGATGGGATGGGATGGGATGGGATGGGATGGGATGGGAGGTGATGGGATGGGATGGGATGGGATGGGATGGGATGGGAGGTGATGTGATGGGAGGGTATGTGATGGGATGGGATGGGATGGGATGGGAGGTGATGTGATGGGAGGGTATGTGATGAGATGGTATGGTATGGGATTGGATGGGAGGTGATGTGATGGGAGGGTATGTGATGGGATGTGATGGGATGGGATGGGATGGGATGGGATGGGATGGGATGGGATGGGATGGGATGGGATGGGATGGGATGGGATGGGATGGGCTTCCATCCCTTGGGCTGTGCTGCGTTGCTGTACTTCGCTGTACTTGCCATACCTTGCTCGTTGTGCATCGCTGTGCTTCACTGTGCCATGTATTCTACCTATCCACCTGGGGATTCTGTTCTCTTCCTCACCTTGGGTGTCCCCCAACCATCCCTGCAGGTGGTGCTGTCTACTCGCCTGCTCTCACAGATTTTGTGGCCATGGTGAGACATGGTGAAAAGTGGTGAGATGTGGTGAAGAGTGGTGATTCGCTTGCATGCACTGCTCTGCCTTTAAAATAAGGAGGGGGAGGATGGGGAAAGAGATGATTTCAAGGGAGCTCTGCTCTCGCAGAGCTTATGCGTGTTGGTCAATCAGTCAAATGCATGAAGGCAGTTCTGCCTCAAAAGCAGTGTCCTTCCTCCTGCATTCGCCCCTCCTGCATTCGCCCCTCCTGCATTCCCCCCTCCCGAATTCGCACCTCCCGCTTTGCCCCCTCCCGCATTCCCACATCCTGCATTCCCATCTCCTCTCCTCAGACTCGAGGCACGGCGTACATGTTTGTCACGGGGCATGACGTGATGAAGCATGCGTTGTCCTGCCCGCTTCTCATGCCCTTGTTGTCACATGCCCTTGTTGTCACATGCCGTTGACCTGCCTTGTGCTCTTTTCTCCCCCCTACTCCCCTCAGACTCGAGGCACGGCGTACATGTTTGTCACGGGGCCTGACGTGGTGAAGCAAGTCACGTTTGAGGATGTCACTCGGGTATGCGTGTGTCACTATGTGTGTCACTATGTGTGTCACTATGTGTGTCACTATGTGTGTCTCTCATATATGTGTGTCTCTCATATATGTGTGTCTCTCATATATGTGTGTCTCTCATATATGTGTGTCTCTCATATATGTGTGTCACTCGGGTATGTGTGTCACTCGGGTGTGTGTGTCACGTGGGTGTCACGCGCGTGTGAGGCCTGCTCTTCCCCACTCCCTCACGCTACCTTGTTTGTTCGCCAACGAAAATTCTTTCATGCTGCCCTTCACTGCTTGCCTCGAATTGGCTTGTTTCGTTCACACACCCACGCCTGGACACCCACACCCCTTGACACCTGCACACCCCGACACCTGCACACCCCGACACCTGCACACCCCGACACCTGCACACCCCGACACCTGCACACCCCGGCACCTGCACACCCCGACACCTGCACACCCCGACACCTGCACACCCCGACACCTGCACACCCCGGCACCTGCACACCCCGGCACCTGCACACCCCGACACCTGCACACCCCGACACCTGCACACCCCGACACCTGCACACCCCGGCACCTGCACACCCCGACACCTGCACACCCCGACACCTGCACACCCCGACACCTGCACACCCCGACACCTGCACACCCCGGCACCTGCACACCCCGACACCTGCACACCCCGACACCTGCACACCCCGACACCTGCACACCCCGGCACCTGCACACCCCGGCACCTGCACACCCCGACACCTGCACACCCCGACACCTGCACACCCCGACACCTGCACACCCCGGCACCTGCACACCCCGGCACCTGCACACCCCGGCACCTGCACAAACACCCCCACGTACATGGCACATTCACTCACTCGCGTTGTGGTTGTGCATTCTCACTCACTCCCTCTTTCCAACATACCGAGCCAGGGAAACTTCAGTGGGGCGTTTTTTGGGCGTTTTTTAGAAGTCTAAAAACGCACTGGCCTTGTGATGTGTGGGCGTGCGTGCATCCTCAAACTCTCCCTTCTCCTTCAGGATGAGCTGGGAGGGGCGGACGTGCAGTCCAAGTCAGGAGTGGTGCACCTGGCGTATGACAACGAACTCGATGCTCTTGCAAGGTGAGATGCGTTGCGGTGCGGTGCGGTGCGGTGCGATGAGGTGTGGTTTGGTGTGGTTATGGTCATGCGTCCTCGATGCCTCTCCATCAGGACGAGCTAGGAGAGTCAGCGGGCGGTTGTGCAGTCCAAGGCAGGAGTGATGGTGCACCTCGTGTGTGGCAATTAGGTGGACGCCCTTGCAAGGTGAGGTGTGGTGTGGTGTGGTGTGGTGTGGTGTGGGTTACGCAGATGCTCTGATAGTGCACACAAGTGCATTGATGCTCCACCACTCATGCTCCACCACTCATGCTGCCCTGCCCTGCCCTCCCACCCTCTCCTCTCCTCTCCTCTCCTCTCCTCTCCTCTCCTCTCCTCTCCTCTCTCGCTCTCCCTTCTCTCTACCGCCAGGATCCGGGACCTCTTTGACTTCCTGCCGCTCTCCAATCAGCATGCGCCACCTCTGCGCCCCAACTTCGACTCCCCGTGAGTCACTTGGAGATGCATCTCATTTCAGTTGAGCCTTTGGTAGTGCCTTTTGTGGAGCATCAATGTTCCACTTTTATACTCTTCATCCGTCTCCATGGCTCTCACCCCCTGCTTGCATGTTTCTCCCTCCATTCGTGCACCCCCACGCCCCAAGCCCTTTCTCTCCCTCCTTTCACCAACCTGTGCTGCATCCGCTCTCAGCAATGGCAACTCCTCTGCTCATGGCTTTGCTGCTGTGCCTTGTGACCCTAACAATGTGTTCCCCCTCCTTCCCCTCCCCCGCGCCCTTCCTCCTCCCTTCCCTCTTCCCCTTCCCCTTCCCCTTCCCCTTCCCCTTCAACTCCACCTCCGCCTTCCCTTTCCCCTCCCTCTTCCACTCCGCATCCTCGGTCCATGTCCACTCCCTCCCTCCATGTTCAACTCGGTCCATGTCCACTCCCTCCCTCCATGTTCAACTCGGTCCATGTCCACTCCCTCCCTCCATGTTCAACTCGGTCCATGTCCACTCCCTCCCTCCTCCCCTCCCCTCTCTCCCCCCACCTATCCCCTCCGTCTCGCCTTAGTACTCCAGCGAACTTGTGTTCGTTCTCTGACTTTTTCTGTGCCTCGTAACCCCGACAGAAGCAAGCACCCTGTTCAATCAACGCCCCTCATTCCCCTCCCTACCTCTCCCTTTCGCCTCCCCTCTCTTCTCCTCCCTACCTTGTCTTCCTCTCCCTCCCTCTCCCGTTCTCCTCACCTCCCTCTCCCTTTCCCACCCCCCCCACACCACAGCAACCGTGATTCATGTCTCTGGAACTCGCTGTGCCGCGTGTCCGAAACGCATATTTCCTCTCCAGAATTCCCCTTTCCCTCTCCTCTCCATTCCCCTTCTCTGTTCCCTCCGTTTCCTCTCTCCTCCCCTCCAACCTCGCATCTCCTTGCTACGTTTCAGCAATCGCTCGCAGCTCCCCCCTTCTAGATCTCGCTGTTCTGTGCGAGCCCAACACCTGGAATCCCCTCTTTTGGTCCTCTCCCCTTCTCCCACCCCCTCCCCCGCTATCTTGCATCCCTCGCACCATAGCAACCATGTCTTGGACCCCAACATACTTCTCCCCTTTCCCATCCCGCTCCCCCTCCCCTCCCCATCCCGCTCCCCCTCCCCCTCCCCATCCCGCTCCCCCTCCCTCTCCCCATCCCGGCTCTCCTCCCCCTCCCACTCCCTCTCCCACTCCCCCTCCCACTCCCCCTCCCACTCCCTCTCCCACTCCCCCTCCCACTCCCCCTCCCACTCCCCCTCCCACTCCCCCTCCCACTCCCCCTCCCACTCCCCCTCCCACTCCCCCTCCCACTCCCCCTCCCACTCCCCCTCCCACTCCCCCTCCCACTCCCCCTCCCACTCCCCCTCCCACTCCCCCTCTTAGTGGGAATATACGCTCCAACCCTAAAGCGTATAGCGTATACACGCTAGCGTGTGTACGCAAAACGCAATACGCTAGCTAATACGCTATACGCTATCAGAAAAATTTTCGGGCTGCCCAGGGAAAAAAAATCGCTTGTGTACAGAAAGATGCGGAATCTTCTGCTGAGCATTTCGCCTAAGTCGAAATGCAATTTGACGGTCTAGGGAAGCGGGAGTGGGCCTTCGAAGTTGCAGGCAGTTCAAATTTGAACATTAGATTGGTACCGCATTGGAACCCATATTATCTACCAATTCCAACCTGTCAAAAACGTGCCCCACCAGACCCCACTCACGCTACTTACCAGAGAGCAAAATTCCAGTCGTCATTTCTAGTTGGCATTCCCACTTTCTAACAGCAGAGCTCCTTCCGATTCCTACCTACTTCTCCTTTTAGTGTCTACTCCACGTCCCACCCCAATCGCCGTTCAGACTTAGGGAAATGCTACGAAAGTCTTAATGAGAATAGGGATCACCTTCTTGATCTTGAGCACGGCGTCTTTTTCACCCTGCCCGAGATAGTTTTTTACCTGCCCAAAAAAGCGTATTACCAAATCGACCCTTAAGCGTTTAGCGTATATACGTTACCGTATATACGATACGCGTATATACACTATAAGCGTATATTCCCACTAAGCTCCCCCTCCCACTCCCCCTCCCACTCCCCCTCCCACTCCCCCTCCCACTCCCCCTCCCTCCACAACCGCCCTTGTCCCCTCTCTCACCCACCAACACACGACAGCAACCGCGTGTCACCCTCGCTGGACTTTGCTGTGCCGCGGGACCCCAACACGGCATACGACATGGTGGAGATCATCGAGCAGGTGGGGTGGGATGCGGTGGGGTGGGATGGGTGGGATGGGTGGGGAGGGGTGGGGTGGGTTGGGGTGAGGTTGTTGCATCCACACTTGCTGACTGGTTTTTGTTGGCATACGACATGGTTGAGATCATCGAGTAGGTGGGGACTCTTGAGAGTATCGCCATACGACACATGGGATGCGTATGGCATGGTCGGATGGCAAGAGGACGCCGACACTGCATGCGACATGGTGGAAATTATTGAGCAGGTGAGGTGGGGTGCCTGTGAGGAGGAAAAGGCGTGTGATGTGGTGGAAAAGGCATGGGGGGATGAAGCGGGGTGCGAGTGAGGAGAAGGGGGTAATCAACCATGTGGCGTGATTGTGGCTCCGACACTCGTGAAGACCCGGTTGAAAAACGGATAGAGAGGAAGGATGAGGGACAGAGGCAGACAGAGGAGGGGTTTGTACATCCTTATGAAGTGACTCCTGAGATTCTGACAAGTGGATTGAGAGGAGGGGCGAGGGGTGGAGTGCGCAGGGAGAAGAGAATTGATTTCCACCCGACAAATCAGTTCCCTTCTCCCTGCGCAATCTACCCCTCGCCCTTCCTCTCTGCCCACTTGTCAAAGGTGTCGTCAAAACTTGAGGAGTCACTTCACAAGGAAGACCAAAGCCCTCCTCTGTCAGCCCTGTCCCTCATCCCTTCTCTCTGTCCTTTTTTCAACCGAGTCTGCCTGAGTGCCGGAGTCACAATCACGCCGCATGGTTGATTACCACCTTCTCCTCTCTCGCACCCCGTTTCATTCCCCCACGCCTCTTCCACCACATCATACGCCTCCTCCTCCGCACTCTCTCCTCCTTGTCCGGGTTACTCGTTGGGGGGCGAATAACGAGTTCTCTTTTGGGGGGGAAATACTCGACCGAGTCGAGCCGAGTATTAGTCGACGAGTTTTTTGTGCTCGTCAAATACTCGGCCTACTGACGAGCATTTTTGGCTACTGGGGGGAGTTTTTTGTGCTCGATGAGTTTTTTCGTGCTCGTCGAGCATGTGGGAGTCTCGTCCGTACGCTAATAGAGAAATTGTGGGAATGGTTGGGTACAAATCTGAGAAACGCTTTTGTACCCAACCCAACCACCGCAATTTCCACCGCTCGCAAAATTGCGGAGCGGGTGAAAATTGTCGAGTCTTGCCGGCGAATCACCTGGGATCGAGTCAAAGTGTTTGCGAACTGTTATCGCGAAACAATTTGTCGCGACTCAAGTCTCCTCCTCTCAATCCACCCCAATTCCCCACATCTTAACAGACTTAGCTACCTACCGCGCTTAATTTCTAACCTAGTTTCTAGTTCCGTAGACTATGCAACTTAGTACCTAGCTGATTTCTTAGCATGTTTTACCTCCGTCTTAGGAACGTTTATAATTTGATCAAACTAAAACGAGTCACTAAGATACAAACAAAGCATCATGGCGACGAGTGCAACCTAGACATGTCTTGTAGAAAAATTATGCGGGGCTGATTTTGCAGTTACAACGCAACGGGCCGAGCATTACTCGAACTCGGACGAGCTTTCAGAAATGCTCGTCCGAGCCTTTAAAAACTCGCCCAAAAAGACAAGTAACGAGTATGCAAAGTCCTAAAAAATGCTCGTCCAAGCTTTAAAAAACTCGCCCAAAAAGACAAGTAACGAGTATGCAAAGTCCTAAAAAATGCTCGTCCAAGCTTTAAAAAACTCGCCCAAAAAGACAAGTAACGAGTATGCAAAGTCCTAAAATATGCTCGTCCGAGCTTTAAAAAACTCGCCCAAAAAGACAAGTAACGAGTATGCAAAGTCCTAAAAATGCTCGTCCGAGCTTTGCTCGACTCGGTGCAAACCGTGAACGAGTTGTACCGTAAACAAGTCGAGCAAAACTCGACTCGTCAGTTTGCCCATGTGTAACGTCTCGTCAACTCCCTTACCATAGAGAACTCCCTTTGCGCGGATGCACACTCCACTCCACCACGCACACCGTGCTTTCCACCCCCACCCCCCTCCCCCTTCTCTTCATTTCTTCTCGCTCGCCTGTGCTCGGCATCATCAGGTGGTGGACGATGGGGAGCTGTTTGAGGTGCAGGGAGGCTTTGCACGAAACATCCTCATTGGATTCGCGGTGAGTCAATTCTGGTCAACCCTAGTCAATGCTGGTCAACCCTAGTCAATGCTGGTCGATTCTCGTGGTCAACTGCAGCTGATGCATTTATTCGGATGGAACACAACACAACGCAGCCGCGTGTTACAATCTGACAGCAATTGATCGTCAACATCGACTGCGGTGACTCATCCCTGTTCTCTTCTCTTCCTTCTTGGTCGGTCTTTCCACATGTTCTCCCCATCTTTCTTTACACCATGCTCCCCCCATGCTTCCCCCATATACTCCTCATCTTCACCCCATCTTCCCCCCATCTGGGCGCCATCAGAGGCTGGACGGGGGCACGGTGGGAGTGGTGGCGAATCAGCCCAAGGAGCAGGCGGGCTGCCTCGATATCAACGCCTCCATTAAGGTGAAGTGTGGGGCAAAAAGGTTGCACCGTTACGATGTGTGCTACAGTGTGTAACAGTGTTACATGTTGAATGAATATCAACGCCTCGATCAGGGTAAATTGTGGGGTTGCATGGTACGCTAGTGAACTGAAGCACTACGCGTGTGCTGGAGGCTGAAGCCATGGTGGTCCAGCATTACATGTGAATTCAAAGTGTTGAATCAGCCAAACCAATGAGCAGACTGGGTGGGTGCCTCTCTGGACCCCAACAAGGATTGTCATAAATTGCGGTGAACAAGGTTAAACGAGTTGTCTCAAGCTGAAACGTTACAGTGAAGCAGCAAAGGTATGTCTGCATTAATACTATATCTTGTTGACAACACACACGTGCTTCAATTCGATACCTCTGCCTGCCCTGCACGCAATGTCATGGCATGTGACCAATTGCACTGGTATGGTGTTCTACAACATTGCATGGAATGTAACCGCATGGCATGGCGCGCGGTGGCATGGTCTGCATTCACACCACACGAGTGCAGGGAGCTCGCTTTGTGCGTTTCTGCGATGCGTTCAACATCCCCATCCTCACCTTCGTCGACGTCCCAGGCTTCCTCCCAGGTACCGTGCTTCTATCCATTCCATGGTTCCATGCATCATCCATCCGAGTCGGGTCAAGGCGAGTCTAGGTACCCATTGCAACTTGCGATATTCTCTGCTCGCATCCGTGCTGTCTGCGTTGCGTGTTTCTATCAACAACGGCCCGCATGAGTCGATGCGAAGCTGCTTGTGCTTGTGGTTCATGCATGCATGGATGCACGTCCTGCTGTGCAAGTGCACATGTGTTTCGAGTCGACTCAAAACACTGCTGGTGTATATGCACGACAACACGTGTGCTTTGTGCTGTGCTGTGTGCCGTGTGTGCTTTTGTGGGCAGGCACGGGGCAGGAGCATAGCAGCATCAGGCAGGGGGCGAAGCTGCTGTACGCCAATGCAGTGATGCATGTGTGTGTTCTGAGCAATCACGATCGTCTGTGTGTCTTTGTGTGTCCACACGTCTCCCTCTGCCGGTGCAGGCACAGAGCAGGAGAATGGTGGCATCATCAGGCAGGGGGGGGGCGAAGCTGCTGCAGTCAGTGATACATAAATGTGCATTCTCTGTGTCTATGTGTGTCCATGTCTGTCCGTGTGCGTGTGTCTCTGCCCCTGCAGGCACGGAGCAGGAGCACAACGGCATCATCAGGCAGGGGGCGAAGCTGCGGCACCCAGTGATACATAAATGTGTATTATGTGTGTTCATATGTGTGCATTTCTGCCCCTGCAGGCACAGAGCAGGAGCACAACGGCATCATCAGGCAGGGGGCGAAGCTGCGGCACCCAGTGATACATAAATGTGTATTATGTGTGTTCATATGTGTGCATTTCTGCCCCTGCAGGCACAGAGCAGGAGCACAACGGCATCATCAGGCAGGGGGCGAAGCTGCGGCACCCAGTGATACATAAATGTGTATTATGTGTGTTCATATGTGTGCATTTCTGCCCCTGCAGGCACAGAGCAGGAGCACAACGGCATCATCAGGCAGGGGGCGAAGCTGCGGCACCCAGTGATACATAAATGTGTATTATGTGTGTTCATATGTGTGCATTTCTGCCCCTGCAGGCACAGAGCAGGAGCACAACGGCATCATCAGGCAGGGGGCGAAGCTGCGGCACCCAGTGATACATAAATGTGTATTATGTGTGTTCATATGTGTGCATTTCTGCCCGTGCAGGCACAGAGCAGGAGCACAATGGCATCATCAGGCAGGGGGCGAAGCTGCTGTACGCGTATGCGGAGGCCACGGTGCCCAAGCTCACTGTCATCACTCGCAAGGCGTATGGGGGGGCGTACGACGGTGAGACAAGCAGGAAGAAGCATATGAGTGTGTGCGTGGGCGAGTGTGTGGGTGTGGGTGTGGGTGTGGGTGTGGGTGTGGGTGTGGGTGTGGGTGTGGGTGTGGGTGTGGATGTGGGTGTGGGTGTGCATGTGGGTGTGGGTGTGCGTGTGGGTGTGGGTGTGGGTGTGGGTGTGCGTGTGGGTGTGGGTGTGGGTGTGGGTGTGGGTGTGGGTGTGGGTGTGGGTGTGGGTGTGGGCGTGGGCGTGGGCGTGGGCATGTGCGTGTGTGTGCGTGTGTGTGCATGGGGCTATACGGTGCGAGTGTTGTTTACACAACCATGCAGAGGCCACGGTTTTGAAGTGTGGCTGTGGCTTCTGCATGTGGCTTCTGCATGTGGCTTCTGCATGTGGCTTCTGCATGTGGCTTCTGCATGTGGCTTCTGCATGTGGCTTCTGCATGTGGCTTCTGCATGTGGCTTCTGCATGTGGCTTCTGCATGTGGCTTCTGCATGTGGCTTCTGCATGTGGCTTCTGCATGTGGCTTCTGCATGTGGCTTCTGCATGTGGCTTCTGCATGTGGCTTCTGCATGTGGCTTCTGCATGTGGCTTCTGCATGTGGCTTCTGCATGTGGCTTCTGCATGTGGCTTCTGCATGTGGCTTCTGCATGTGGCTTCTGCATGTGGCTTCTGCATGTGGCTTCTGCATATGGCTTCTGCATGTGGCTTCTGCATGTGGCTTCTGCATATGGCTTCTGCATGTGGCTTCTGCATGTGGTAGTTTATGGCTGTGAGAGAGGTGGGTGTGTTGAGGGTGTTGTGTGACTGCTTGTGGTGCGTGGGTGTGGTGCATCTATGCTTGAGCTCCCTAGCCTCTGCTCCTTGCTCCTCTCAACCTTTTCTCTCCTTGCTCCTCTCAACCTTTTCTCTCCTTGCTCCTCTCAACCTTTTCTCTCCTTGCTCCTCTCAACCTTTTCTCTCCTTGCTCCTCTCAAACTTTTCGCTCCTTGCTCCTCTCAACCTTTTCTCTCCTTGCTCCTCTCAAACTTCTCGCTCCTTGCTCCTCTCAACCTTTTCTCTCCTTGCTCCTCTCAACCTTTTCTCTCCTTGCTCCTCTCAACCTTTTCTCTCCTTGCTCCTCTCAACCTTTTCTCTCCTTGCTCCTCTCAAACTTTTCGCTCCTTGCTCCTCTCAACCTTTTCTCTCCTTGCTCCTCTCAAACTTCTCGCTCCTTGCTCCTCTCAACCTTTTCTCTCCTTGCTCCTCTCAACCTTTTCTCTCCTTGCTCCTCTCAAACTTTTCGCTCCTTGCTCCTCTCAACCTTTTCTCTCCTTGCTCCTCTCAAACTTCTCGCTCCTTGCTCCTCTCAACCTTTTCTCTCCTTGCTCCTCTCAACCTTTTCTCTCCTTGCTCCTCTCAACCTTTTCTCTCCTTGCTCCTCTCAACCTTTTCTCTCCTTGCTCCTCTCAAACTTCTCGCTCCTTGCTCCTCTCAACCTTTTCTCTCCTTGCTCCTCTCAACCTTTTCTCTCCTTGCTCCTCTCAACCTTTTCTCTCCTTGCTCCTCTCAAACTTTTCGCTCCTTGCTCCTCTCAACCTTTTCTCTCCTTGCTCCTCTCAAACTTCTCGCTCCTTGCTCCTCTCAACCTTTTCTCTCCTTGCTCCTCTCAACCTTTTCTCTCCTTGCTCCTCTCAACCTTTTCTCTCCTTGCTCCTCTCAACCTTTTCTCTCCTTGCTCCTCTCAAACTTTTCGCTCCTTGCTCCTCTCAACCTTTTCTCTCCTTGCTCCTCTCAAACTTCTCGCTCCTTGCTCCTCTCAACCTTTTCTCTCCTTGCTCCTCTCAACCTTTTCTCTCCTTGCTCCTCTCAAACTTTTCGCTCCTTGCTCCTCTCAACCTTTTCTCTCCTTGCTCCTCTCAAACTTCTCGCTCCTTGCTCCTCTCAACCTTTTCTCTCCTTGCTCCTCTCAACCTTTTCTCTCCTTGCTCCTCTCAACCTTTTCTCTCCTTGCTCCTCTCAACCTTTTCTCTCCTTGCTCCTCTCAAACTTCTCGCTCCTTGCTCCTCTCAACCTTTTCTCTCCTTGCTCCTCTCAACCTTTTCTCTCCTTGCTCCTCTCAACCTTTTCTCTCCTTGCTCCTCTCAACCGCCTCCCTCTTTCCTGCAATGATTAGCTCTAAGCTCCTGACAGGCAACGCCACCTATGCAGCCTTGCCCTTCTTCTCCCATCTCCCTTGCTCTTGGTATCCCACCCCACCCCACTCCACCCCACCCCACCCCACCCCACCCCGAGCAGTCTCGAGCACCAAGAACCTGAGGGGCCACGCCATTTATTACCCCCTTGCCTTGCTTCTCACATCTCTTATGCTCTTGGCCACCCCACCCCAAACCACCCCACCCACCCCACCCCACCCCAATTCACCCCACCCCACCCCACCCCACCCTCTGCGTGCAGTGATGAGCTCCAAGCACCTGAGGGGCGACGCCAACTACGCATGGCCATCGGCAGAGATTGCAGTGATGGGAGCCAAGGTGCGCTGCCCATCAGTCTTTACATGTATGCGTGGGCGCGCGAGCTATATGTGTGCGTGCGTGTGCTCATGTGTGTGTTTTGTAAAGCATTCTACCTATTTTCCATTGATTTTTTTTCCTTTCCTTTTTCCACTTTGACAAATGGCCACCACCCAACTGTTTCGTACTTCTGCTCCCCCCTCCCATTCCATCTGTACCCTCTCTCAGAGAGCGGCAGAGATCCGGCACAAGACGTGGGCTTGGAGAGCCTGACAGGGGAGGGCACACGAAAGTAGGGAGGTAAATTGATGTGTGCCCCCATCTGCCTCTCACCCCCCAGGGCGCAGCAGTGATCCTACACAGGGGCAGCGTTGACTTGGAGGGTCTGACAGCCGAGTAATTGCCCTTCTCCCCCTTTTACCGCCAACCTTTCATCTCTCTCCCCTTTCCAGGGAGCAGCATTGATCCTCCACAGGGGCAGCGTGGACCTGGAGAGCCTCACAGCAGAGTACCCACGCATGCAGGGAGGGTGATTGTCCTTTTTGTTGCAAACCTTCATCTCTCTCCCCTTCCAGGGCGCAGCGGAGATCCTGCACAGGGGCAGCGTGGACTTGGAGAGTCTGACAGCGGAGTACACTCGCAAGTTCGCCAACCCGTACAGTGCGGCGCAGCTGGGATATGTGGATGCTGTTATCATGCCGAGAGACACACGCAAGGTGCTCTGCAAGGAGATGGCTCGTTTGAGGAATAAGGTGAGGGCTATTTGGGAAGTTGCGAGGGGTTGGAAGGGGTTGGGAGGGGTTGTTGGGTGGAAGTTGGCGAATTTGTACAGTGCGGCGCAGCTGGGGTATGTGGATGCAGTCATCATGCCAAGAGACACAAGGAAGGTGCTCTGCAAGGAGATGGCGCGACTTAGAAACAAGGTGAGCGGTTTGGAGAGGTTGGGAGGGGGTGAGAGGGGTCGGGAGTGGGTACGAGGGGGTTGGGAGCGGTTGAGAGGGGTTGGTGGTTGCAAGGTGGCCAACCGTACAGTGCAGCGCAGCTGGGGCATGTGGATGCAGTCATCATGCCGCCGAGGGACACAAGCAAGGAGCTTTGCAAGGATAACGTGAGGGATCAGGAGGAATTGGGAGGGGTTGGGAGGGGTGTTTGTGTATGTGGGCAGAGCTCGGGTGTGTGTGCACATTTGCGTGTTTGGTGCGGTGGCATGTTGGTGTGCGGTGGTGTGCGGTCTTATGCGGTGGATGGGGAGAGTGCTGCTTGTAGAAATGGCCCCGAACCAAGATGAGGGGGAGAGAGAAGACGAGAGCAAGATGAGGAATAAGGAACAGGGCGAAGGTAGTACTGGGAGAGCGGTGGTTGGGGCGTGGATGGTCAAGATGCGTACCAGGCACGCACCATAATTCTGTTGTTGATTACTGATTTTGAGCTGGAAATCACCATGAAAGTTTCTGAACTTTCTGGTGGCACAAAGATTGGACGGTCGCGATGTATGGAGAGGCATAGCTTATAGTAGGTATGTATGATACGATCTTGGATGCTCGACTAGCCAACCAGGTGATTGAACATCACCTCCCTTTTCACCTGCAACCAGGCTCACCTCATGCATGTTGAGTAGAAATGTTAACACGGTATGCAAGGATACATTTGTTGCGTTGAATGATTGTGTGAATGTGGGCGTGGTCTTGGTTGTGTGTGTTTGTTTGTGCCTGTGGGGGGGAAGGGGGGGTGGATGTGAATGTGTGTGTGTGTGTGTGTGTGAGGGTGTACGTGTGAGGGTGTGTGTGTGAGGGTGTGTGTGTGTGGGTGCCTGTGTTATATTGCCTGGCAGAAACTTTCCAATCCGTGGAAGAAGCACGACAACATGCCACTGTAACAAACAACCCTCGCTGGACCTCACAGCACCGCACAGCCTAGCACTGCACAGCATCGCAGGCTCCACGACATCATCTCGAAGACCATACTTCCATTCTGTACATTTGAGATGGCTCACATCGAAATTGCCCAGTCAGTGGAGAAAACATGACGAATGCCCCTCCCTGTGGTAGTCATTCCGGCTGGATTCTTCAATCCTCATCGTGGCTGCATCCCTACGTATGGATCGTACAAACAGGTTCAGAATGTGTGTGCTCTGTGGTTCATTTACCGGTATTTAGTTTGTACATTGTAGGGTCTCTTGTTGTGGTCCAATATGATACCTATTATTGGCCCTGCCCAGGATACAGGAAATTTTGCCGATTGATATGGTTACTTGGTATATATGCGACACTTGGATACAATCAGCAGGCATGTTCCGGCAGTCGTTCCCGTAAATGGTGGTCAATCAATCCAACACCTCTGAAGCACTGTGGTCAGACCATGAAGCGATAATCGAGCATGCAAGAACCGTGCCACGAAAAAATAGGGCATGTGTGGGTGGGAGCCTTCAATTCAGTGAAGCATGAGGCGCATCCTGGCAGACCTAACAGACGGGAGGTAGTCAATCCACCACCCCACCACTCTGTCACCCTCCCCACGTCGGTCAGCAACGGCTCTTTCAGCTTGGGCAACCAACGGAGTGACCCGGGCAGAGAGTTCAGCTCCGGCAAATAGCGCAGCTCCAGCGTTTCAAGGTTTTTCAGCTGCCCGAGTGACTCGGGCAGCACATATAACTTTTTCAAGCCTTCGAGCTTCAAGAAGGTGAGGTTTTGCAGCCGTCCGAGGGATTCTGGCAGGTTGGAGAGGCTGCGCATGTGGGTGAGCGTGAGGGACGAGAGGGAAGAGAGCGCGGAGAAGGAATCAGGGAGAGAGGAGAATTGTGAACAATTACGCAGAGATAGGCTGGTGAGAGACGCCAGGCCCCAGGGCTGCTGTGCGGTGCGCTGCTCCTTGCTGTTGTCGCGTTATTAACGCCTAGCCAGCAGGCTAAGGCGTGAATTACACAGCAGCCAGGTAATTGTGCATTTCTGGACTTGTACTCTAATTTCTTTTGTGTGCGTGGTATGTACTGTACATACGCTTTACAGAGCCGAGTGCAGGGAAATTCGAGGAGGTTGGTACAGAAGAAGGAATTCGATTCCAGCTGGGAATTCGATTCCTGCTGGGAATTCGATTCCAGCTGGGAATTCGATTCCAGGTTGGGAATGCAATTCCAGCTGGGAATGCGATTCCAGGCTAGGAACTCGATTCCAGCTGGATTGCAGTGCATGCCTAGTGGGCCCAATGGGAGCTAGCTAGCACCTAGGAGCCATCACGAGCAGTGCAGCTGACTCGCGTCTGGCACTAGAGTTAGCGTGCTGCAGGAGGAACCTAGGCAGGAGGAGGAGGGAATGTAGTCGGGGGGAGCACTCAGGTCTCTCGCTTTTTGCTTGTATGTTTATCTTTTTACTGCAATCTTGTTTTCCTAAGCCAAAGGAAGCTAGCAGTAGGAAGCAGGAGCAATCTGACGGAGCCCTTGCGAGGGGGTTTAGACTTGTTCATACAAGCAAAAAGTTGCAGTGCTGAAATTTCAGCAGAACAAGTACAAACGCCTGTAGGACCTGCGGTGATGCACCGTAAGGGATGAGCGGCCTGGATCAAGAACTACATACTCATCAGCTGCGTTCAGGTCACAGATTTCCTGCGCGGAGGATGGAGGGGCAAGCCCTGCCGACTAAGACGCCTGGGTTCCAAGCAGAAGAAGGAACAGCGAACGTTAGTGGTAATAGCAGCGCGGATCCAGGAAAGGAGGGCGACCGACGGGAAGAGCCTCCACAGGGCTCTAACTGCAATTCGCCAGCGCCAGGGATGGGATCCCAATCAGCCAGGGTTGGAGGATCTCAGCATGGAACCCCAGAACCGAGAGTGGGAGACCATCAGGAAGATCAGCGGAGCCAGCGAGAAGGAGAGGCGTTTCACGGATTCTCTGCTGGAAGATGCGAATCCAGGGAGGCCGGTAGAGGAGATCAGCATGTGGGGATTGGCGAGAGGGGAACGGCGAGCTGGGGAACGGCGAGCTGGGGAACGGGCAGAACGATAAGTGCAGATCCACCTAAGATTGAAGTGCCGGATCGCTTCTCAGGAGCGCCTGGAGAGGAGCCCACGCTGAAGAATTATCTTATGATGGTGGATGACATCCGATACTGCTGGGAGAGGGAGGGGCACGATCCCATTGAATTCTTCAGAGGATTGGGGAGAACGCTCAAGGGGGAAGCGTTGACGCATTACCGGGTGGAGAGACAAGGGTTGTTGCTGCAGAGTAAGCGGGGAGACTTCGCGCCGGCGGAAATCACCGACCGATTCCTGGAAAGCCTGCGAGAACAATTCCCGGGACATTCAGCAGATCGGATGACAGAGTTCCAAGATTTTAAGAGAGCGAGAGGAGAATCTCTGCTAGCGTACTATAATCAACTGATGGAGCTGGCCGAAGACATGGGCTGCTTGGAAGAACGGACCTTGGTGTCAAAGTTTGTGGGTGGATTGGATGAAGACCTGATGCAAGATATGCGGAGCCGACTGTACGCGCTGGGGATGAAGGCGAAATTGCGACAAGTGTATCAGGTGGCGAAAGAGGTAGAGGAGGGAAGAAGGTTCTTCGATGGGTTACGCGGAGCGAGCTCAGGAAGATCAGGCGAACGCAGGAGGCCGGCGTGGGCTGCGGTGGAAGGAAAGCGGATGGAAGAAGAACGGAGAGAAAAACCATTTGAGGACAAGCGACGGTGTCACAAGTGCGGGGAACATGGGCATCTGCGAAAGGATTGCGCCATCGACATCATATGCGACATCTGCAAAGAGAAAGGGCATTTCAGGCGGAATTGTCCTAAGGCGCCGATCTGCACCTTCTGTAGGAAACGGGGACACACGGAAGAAATGTGCTACAGCAAGAAGGAGAAGGGGGGAGAAAAATCCGCTAGGGAACAGCAGTTGGAGAGGGAGTTAGCAAAGCTGAAGGCGCAGATGGGTAAGGTGGAGATCAGCGAAGACCCGGAGAAAGCGCTACTAGCTTGGGAAGACGAGGAAGAGGAAGATTACGGGGAGGAAGAAGCTGAGTATGGGACAATGGCCATGTCACCCAGGGACTGAGAAAGTTTGGGGTTGAGAAGTGGAGGGAAGGACGGTAGAGCGGAGCCGAAGCAACCAATGAGAAGGACTTCAAAAGTACCTGAGGGGACTAACAAGCCGAAGGCAGCTCGGCGACACCCTGAAGAGCGACTGGTCTGCCAGCCGACGACTCTGGTGGTGGAACCGAAGTCTGTAGCGGTACGAGGGATTATGGTAGAAAATGACGTGGTGGATACAGGCGCGCAGAGTGTGTTGCTGGGAAGAAAGCTGACCGAGCAGCTAAAGGCGCAAGGAGGTTGGGAAACAGTGAGACGGGGAATACTGATCATGACCGCAGAGGGAGGGGCTCCCAAGTGGATGCCATGCACTAAGGATCTGATTGAGATCACGCTGCAGCCGGGGGGGAGGGAGAGACAATGATAAGGGTGCAGTGCGGACTGACGGAATTAGACGACTACGACATTTTACTGGGAATGGAGTTGCTCTACAAGATAGGGACTACGATATGCACCTG